AAATAAAATATTAAAAATTATAATAATAAATAACTTTATTTTTAAACATTATTTTTGAATGATTTATTTTAATATTTAAATAACTAATTATTTCTTTAAATAATTTTGCCCAAAATGGTTAAAAACAGTTATTTGGAATAATTTAATAATATTTTTATTATAAATTATTAAATATTTATTCTATATAGTATTATGAATAGTTTTTGAAATGAATTATTATTATATCATAATAGAATCACATTTATAAATTTTTGTTTGTTTTTATAAACCATGTTATATTATTAATAGCTATTGTTTAAATTATACAAACTAAATTATTAAAATATTAAATCATGATAGTTTATCAATGATTTAATTTATATAACACATAACGAACACTTCATTTTGTAATTCTTTGGCTTCGTGTTAAGTTAGTGCCTTAGCGACTGCAAGGTTTACTGATAAGAGTTTGCACATATTAAGTTATCAAATTTTTATTTTTTTTCGAGACATTTTTTATTATTTAATAGTATTTTTATTAACTACAATAGTTATTTGTTTTTTGATTATCAACAATTGGTCTAAAAACCCAAAATATAGCGTGATATATTTGTAAATAAAACCACTTAAAATCTATATTGATACACAAGATACTCTTATAATAAATAATCTTTTATTTTTATAATAATGGTATTTCAAAGACTTGCCCGAGCGCTTTTCAGTTGTGTTTGCATTGACTGTTCGTGCATTGAATTACGTATTAAGTATCAATTAAGTCATTTTTTCAACACTTAACTAGAATTTTTTAATAAAATGCACTTTTGGGCAAGTCTTTATTACGGCGGAAAAAACCGATGTTTTACCATTTTATATAAAGTTTTGCTTAAAATTGGACATTATTTGCGTTTTGCCGAGTTGAAATTTAAAAAATATAAACATTTCTTAAAACCGATGTTGACCTTTTTATTACCAAACTCAAATCAATCAACACTAAATTCTGAACAAAAATAATAAAATGCCATTAAAAAATACAAAAAATAATTGAGTTTTTTCACGGCATACAAATAGTATTTTACTAACTTAACATGAAAAAACACGATTTTTATTGTTTTATTAACCACCAAGATTTGGTTGCCTCCATTTCAGATAACCCACTCTATTTCCCCGTCTTTTTATTTTTTCCCATGAACGGCACCAAAAACCGATGTTTGACCAAGTTCTTTATAAACAACCATTAAACTTTGACCATAAATGATATTTGCCACAAAAAGTTGAGGTTTTGTTCAAAAAATTTAAAAAACAGGGAAAAAACAAATGGACACATGAAACGGAATATTACCGATGTTCGATGTTTCTAATTAAAAAATCGTTTTATTTTGTTTTTTTTCTCCAGTTTTTTGATTTTGCTTCGATTTTTGAAAAAAGTTTCAAAAAATTTATTGATTATAAAAAGGAGCTCTGTATTTCATTTGTTTGACAGGGACTCAAAAAAGGGCTGGGAATGGATGCACTCAACTTTGTGTGGTGTAGCTTTTGAAAGAACGTTTTTCAAGTTTGGCCGTGGACTGCATTTCTGATTGAATGAGGAATCGATCAAGAGGGGGTGTGAAATAAAGGTGCAGTCGGTCTTTGATCAAAGAAATGAAAAGTTGTTAGGTTTAAAGAGTGTGAATATTGATAAGTTTATTAAGTTGTTTGATATGTAATTGATTAGATAGTGGAGTTTGTGTTTTATGAACGATAAATAGCATGTAAAAAAATTAAAAGTTAAAGTTAAGGGGTGTGAAAAAAAGTACACTGACCGGGTTTTGATTAAAAGTTTTTTTATTTATGCTAAAAAGGAAAAATAATATTGAAAACATTAATCAACTTTTAAAAACTTTTTATTGTTTTTTTAGCCAATTTTTGTATTTTTCTTGCTTCAAAGAACAGTTTAGAAGTCGTTATTTTATGCTTCCCTTTTGTCTTTCGGCAAATTCAACCTTATCTTTACAAGAAAAAAAATGCATAATCTCAAAAATGATTTTTGGCATTTCGAAAAAAGAAATTAAGTTATGTTAACCTTGTTTTTTTGAATCAAATTGCGGAAAAGTGGAAAAATAAACTATACAACTAACTATAAAAGTGTTATTAAATTACTATTATTTTGGCAACATCGCTTTTTTTCCAACATCGGTTTTTTTCTGCCCCTTTACTTAATCAAAAAAATAATTAAGAAAAACACGTCTAATAAAATAAATTGTGCATCTGTTTGGGAACAACAACATCTATTTGTATCCAAATTCAACAAAGAATTTGTTATTCAAATGATTTTCAAAAGACTTTTGAAAGTTTTTCATTACAAAAAAGAAATGCTTTATACAAAAATAGTATTTTAATTTAAAAAATCTATTAATTGAATTAACAACTTTGTAATTATATATAATGGTTTTTTACTTACTTTATTTCTTATACTTAATCTTTTAGGAAATAATTTATTTAATTATTTTAATAATAAAAAAGTAATGACAAAAAGTGTTATAATTATATTATAATTCAACTAAAAATCATAATATAGAAGAGAAATAATATTGAGACTTCTCCAAAGTGCGTCCAAGTATTGTCGAATGTTGACAACAGTTTGTTCAATTGTGGGCTTTCCTTTGGCTAATGCGCCCGCAACAATCGACGATGTTGAAGTGATTTTTGGGATATTTGCGTTGTTTGGGAGAAACAATTACTCAATTGAAAGATGATAATATTACCAAAGCTAAATAAGTTGTTAATTCCAAATTGAAAAATTCTTTAAAATAAAAGGCTACTTTTAACAAAGAAATTTACGCTCGAAAGACAAGTTGTAAAAAAATAATTGAGCAAACCCGAACTTTAATAATCAATGTTTTGAATGACAAATTCGACTTGTTATAAAAGCCACTTGACTCTTCCAATGATGACAATGATTATACTAAAAAGAAATAACAAGAGAAGCTCAAGTTAGTTCGAACTGAACTTGATTAAGAGAAAGATAATGAAAAAACTTCAATTGATTAAACAAATATATGAAAGAAATATTGCTTTAATCGAGGTCAGAGCTGTAATATTTGAGAAAAATGTTCAAATGGTAGAACGATAAAAGGTTAAGACTATGAGAGACAAAGAGGCCGGTTTAGAAAAATTGAAAAGGACAAACACTAAATTCCTTAAAACAGAATACGTGTTATAACCGTGAAAATGATATGCCTGAAAACAGAATTGGAGGCATTTAAACATGTAGACAACAGCTCAAAACAGTCGAAAAATATGTATAAAAAAATGACTGAATGAAATTAGCAACTTGAGCTTAAAAAACTACCTTAGCAAGCTAAAGTTCAGAAGAAGAAGTATTCAGATAAACTTAGAGAAGTGATGGTGAACGAAAACCAATTTGGTGAATATAAAAAACAAGCTGGAGGATATATAAACTCATTGACTGGTCAAAAGGCTTCTTTGAGTTTATCTGTATTTTTCTGTATGTTATTGATAGTTTCCATTTTGCCATCATCTCTTCGATGATTATGATAATTTCTTCAGCGATATTATAATATTGAAAGCTATTCATGATTGATACTTTCATTAGCTTTCATTACATCATAATACACCTTGACATATTTTTTCTTGCTCTTCTCAAGTGCTGCTTGAAACAAAATGTTTTGCAAAAGACCCTCTTTAGAAGCTAGTGTGTACTTTTTGCATCCAAGTTGATTTCTTTCATTTTGTTTGTCAACTTTATTGAGGTTTAATTGATTTTCTATTTTTCTTTTATATGAATGTAAAGATTTTTGAGATGATGTTGAGGCGAGTGATTGGTCTAAAATAAACGGGCTCTCTTGTGTTTCTTCTTTGTGTATTGGAATGGTTTTGCCAAGACACATTTCTGTTTATATTTCCTCGGGATGTTTGAACCATCTTTGGTAAATTCCCAGCAAAGTTGCGTGAAAACATGTACAATACTTTAAGTAAAATCCTTGAAATGTATTTGCATGGGTCGGCACAATTCCGTTTTTCTGTGTTATTTTTAAACAGAAATAACCCACTTTTAATTATGATCGTATACACGAGTTGTATTTAGAATAATACTTGGCAACTATTTTTATTGATTTATTTAATTTAAAAGTTGTACTCAAACACATTAATTGGATTTTAAGATCAAACATGGTGTATATAAAAAATAAACTCGTTTTCAACTGTTAACTATTCACTGATCTATATTTTTATGATAAAGTGTTATTTGATTTCATATTAAAAATTCAAAACATGATATTTATATATCCACATAATATAAATTATTATTAACAAAACAAAATGTTAAACTTAATAATGTAAAAGTAATTTTTCACATTCATGATATTTTGGTATATATTTATGTGAAAATATTTAAAATTTTCAAATAATCAAATAAAAATATAACAATTGAAAGTTTATTAATTATTTAACTTGTAACCCAAACATTTTAAATCAATTTCATTATTTATAATAAATTTCTTATAGTTTGAAAATAAACAAATAAATACAATTAAATTCGTATATCAAATTGTATATATATATTTATTTTGATTATTTTACAATAAACCAGTAATTGCCAAATCGGTAATTTTTAAGTTTTGTTTCCAAATTAACTAGTTTTAAAAAACACATATATCAAAAGACATTCCAACTGTTTTTATTTGTAAAAAACAATTATGTTTATACATTTTTAAATTAAAAATAAACAAGATAACAACGTTGATTTAAAAACATGTTTAATCGATTGATTTCTTGTTATAATCAATATTATCATCGACATTGTAATTTGAAGATGGAGTCTCTCCAGTTGCATATGCCTTGTTTCTGTTGATTTTGGTTTTGTCACCAAAGCAGTGTACTAAAACGCCGTTAACACAAGTATTGCACGTTAACAATTCTTCTGTTTTGAAGCAGTATCCTCCACAGTCAGGTGCTGGCATTAGACACTTACCCAACTTTAAGACGCCACTATTATTGAAAATCATATACTGGTACCAGATTTAATTTTCAATATGGCATTCGTCGTTATAATACATCCCATTGATTTTATCCCCAAGTTCACACCCTTTGTTTTTATCACTTACAAAAGCAATGTTTCTGACATTGTAATCGAGGTTGAAATAACTGTGGCAGTTAGAAGACGTTTTTGGCGTTCCAGTACAATCTGGTGTCGTGTAAGTGTAATTGGTAAAACAAGAAAGATTGAATTTTTGACTGACTCCATCATAAGTCACTTTCTTTGATCCATCCCCAGTTCGAATACATTTATTATCTTCATATATCCAATTTCTTGGGAAAACTATACAATCAGTTGGAACGGCTTCATACAACTTCTTTGTTGTGGAGCCAAAAGAAGTAGCAAATATAAAGAATGTGATAATAAACATTTTGTTTGAATGTATTTTTTAGTCGTAAGTAGCTTTTTATTTTTATTGATTTCTAATTAAAGACGCTATTAACTATATTTAATAAATACTTAAATTTGGTTTATTATATATTTTTAGATTAATTGTTCAAGGTTTTAAATACAATATAATAAATTCCAAGTTCAATGTATCCAAATACCAATGTGGTGATATTTTAGGGTTTATTTATACATTTTTATTCACAGAATAACACCCGGTTTGCATTATTATTTCTGAGAAAAACAAATTAATAATATATTTGTCAAAATGGTTAATCCAATTTTATTAACTTTAATAAAAACAAAACAATCTAAAATGTAATTTAATTATTTTTATTTATTTTTAAATAATTATTATCCATGACAAAGAAAACAAATACAATTCAATTCATTGGTTATTAAATCAATTAAAATAATGTTTTGTATATATAGTCTGTCTTTAAAGTTGTGTATTTATTAAACTTGTTATGTTGACAAAAATACAAATTTATTTCAATCAACTTTAATTAAAAAAACTATAAACTGGTTAATGTAATAATTAATATTTTGGGGTACTTATATTCGTTTTATTATAGTGGGTTAAATAACACAAAAATTAAATCATATTAGACAACATTGTGAAATTGGTTTTTTTTCTAATAAATATATAATTCAAATAAAAAAACAACTGAATATATTTAAAGAAATAGAATGTTTTGTTTTTATTGCAAAAATTAACACAATAAAAAAGTATATATAGATAATAATTAGACCTTAAAACTTCAATGCTTGTTATATTCTTATTTGTTACAACTTCTTTGGGTCGAATTGATTTTGCTTTGGGTGCAGGAAGTGATTGTTATAGTTATGGCGATTTCAGACTTTACAAAAGAGACACGTGCAAAAGAACTGAAACTGGTTCAGTAATCTACACGGCGGACAAGACGGGGATGTATATGATAGAAAAGAAATTTGCTTCAAAAGATTGCTCATGAACACCAGCAGTTCAAGATGCAAAATTTGAATATAGCTTTATGATTCCGAAGAGAGTAGACTATGTTGGATTTACAAGTGACAAGAATGAAAATTGTCAATTAAAAGATAAGATTGATGGAGTTTACCATTCGTCGAGATGTTATCATGCACTTGGTTTCTACAAGTACGAAATTGCAACTGAAAACGGCAAACATTATTTAATGAAAAGATCATACAACACTGTTGACTGTCTTCCAGGAGACTTTGACAATAGCGATACGGAAAAGACGTTGTGTAATGTCTGTGTCAATGGAGTGTTAACTATGTGTTATGGCGTTGATGGTGTTCCAGCTTATGTGGATTTCACAAAAGAGACTGCTGATCAGAGCACTGATATAGAGCCAAGCAAAACCCCCGAAGAAAGCAAAACTCTAGAGCAAAGCAAAACTCCTGAAGAAAATAAAAGTGAAGGAAGCACTACTACCTCAGAGAATGGAGATCAAAATAATAATAACAATGGAGAAGATAACGCTTTCAAAACTCTTGTCTTATTAGTCTTTATCATTGCTACTATGTTTTAATTCAATGAATTTATTTCTTATAGTAACATTTTTATAATTCTATTAACACAACAAAAAATGATAAACGATAAAATTATAATATATAATAAATCATTATTTTATATAACAATTGTATTTTTAAAAATTAAACTTTGGCTATTAAACTCTAACATGCTCTCAACTATTGTTTTGTTCTGAAAAAGTTCAAAAAATCATTGTAATTGCAATCAAATTATTTAATTAATAAAAATATTTATGTTTAACTTATTATTTCTGAAAAGAAATGATTTGTAATTGTCAGTATTGTTGGGACATGTTTTACTGTTTTACATCATTTGACAAAAAATTTAAAACATAAAAACAATTAAAAAACAAAAGTATTGTGTTTATTATTATTCTTAAAAAGTTGATTATTTTAAATTAGAAATACCAAATGTGGTGGCGTCAGTTGTCGAAATGGCAATTTGTTCAAAGTGTTTAAAAAGTGAATTCACTTAAAAATAACAAAAGTTCCAAGTGTTAAGACAATTTAGTGAATGATAATACCAAATGTTATCACCATTCAACAATTTGATTATTCACAACAGCAACAAATGACTGATGTGCATAATTTAAAGGTGACACTCACTAGATAACATTAGAACTTTTTGTAAGACTGAACTCTGTTATGAAATCACTTTAGGGATAACTGCAAATGTTGTAGTGTTTGTGGTATTCAGTCTATTTATTATTAATAGTATTATCTAACTAAATTTAGTTACACAACAACGAATAAAGGTTGTAATTATCCGTTCATAAAAAAACTTAAAAACAGTAAGACAAATTTGTTGGAAATTGAAGCGAATGAAGTGACTGTAATGATGACACGACTGGACTACACCGAGTTGATAAAAACAAAAAACCGGCTAAGGTACTTTAGGTATTATCCACACAATGGAGTAATTATTAAAGTTTTCCATGTTGAATGTTGATTGGAAAATCGGGACATATTATTGAGACCTTAAACTGGACAATGATTTATATTTTAAATGAGTGCATCAGAGAAAGTTAATGCAAACTATTAAATTTGGAAACTCAAAAACTTTAGTAAAATGAACACAAACAGTACATTTACTAAAGTTATTGCTACACCAACTCACATAACGCGATATGTGTGGAATAAAGAAAAATACAAATAACATCTTCTAATTATCATTTTATGTTTCAGTATATGTATGGAATATAAGTTTAATGAATTAAAATTCAAATTTCATGAAAATGTACAAGTTTGTAACTTTTTAAAATGGTCTAAAAAGCCTGATAAATAAATGATAAAAGTGTAAAAAGCATTGTGTTATGTTGTGTTGGTCACAATAGTAACTTGAAAAAAAAACAAAAAGATTTTGCTGAAGAGAAAAATAAACTTTATTAATTGATTTGTTAACAATTATTTATTTTTAAAAAATACAACAAATTTTTCGTAATAATTCATTAATTTATATTTGCAAATTAAACTAAAAATTTGGACTCGTTGTTTCAAATAAAAGAAAATATAGTGATACATATACAGGTATGGTAAAACCCCATCAAAATGTTTAAAATCCTTCAAGATTTAAAGTCAAATAATTACGACGTTATCCAGAACAAATATAAAATAAAAATGGGTTAGTAAAAAGTGTTATACAACAAAAAGAAAAACAAAATAAATAAATTATAACAAAAAATAGATATGTTTGTAATTGTTCAAAAACTGATTATAACAAGTTATGGTTTGTGTTTAAACGAAAGAAGTGACATCGAAAAACAAGTTTGTTGAACAAGTTTGAGTATTTTGTTTGCAATCTTTATTAATAAATTTCGGTTTTTAATATAAAATATTTAGTAATTTTAATTAATTTACGACTTAAGGGATTTTGAATAACTAAAACGGTTTAGTACATACATAACGTGTTCATAAAATATACCAAATAATAAGTTATATTTTTAAGATTCTTTAATACTTTTAATATTTAATAATGAAATATTTTAGGAACACATTCTAAAAATTCATTTTATTTTTCGAAATATCTTCTTTTTCCACAATGCCCCCATTAAAATTGGCTTTATTCTTATATTAGATAACATTTACAAATTGGTTTAAATATCCAAATTTAACAACATAATAAATTATTATTAATGAAAAACGAAATAATTTGGATATATTGTTTCCAAACAAAAGATTTGTAATTTTAAAAATATTCATATAAAAATGTTTCTGTAAAAACAAATCAATTTTTGATTATTTTTTGTGTTAAAATCTCAATTATAATAATAATGAATATTATAATTGATGTTATTATTATTTACTATTTCTTGATGTTTGTAAATTCTAGAGAGTGCTACTGTAGAATAGGTTGGGAAGGCACTCGTTCTAAGTGTAATGAAGCGTGCTACTCAAGCAATTGGCGTTGTTATGGTTTGTGTATATTTATTAACAAATTAACTTATGATTAGTTTGTAATGACTCATGCACAAATTGTGGGAAAAGTGCAAATAATTGCAATGGATGTGTTTCGGGTTATTATCTTCAAAGTGGTGATAATTTCCATGTTTATGTTTGTTTTATTTATTTGTTTTATTTTAAAAATGACAGTCAGTGTGTTCAGACAATTTCGGAAAGAAGTGTTTAGAATGTGATAGAAATAGTGGTTGTAAACAATGTGAAAATGGGTATCAGTTGATCAATAAAACAACACAAAAATGTGGAAATTTCAATGAAGGATGCACACTTTGTTCAAACAATATTTGCAGTCAATGTTCCGAAGGATATTGCCTCGACACCATCAAAAATCTATGTGTGAAATGCAACAACAGATTTTCAAAATGCTCGCTTTGTTCTGAGAATGAATGTTATGCATGTGGCGATAACTCGACACTGTCAAACAAAGTGTGCGTTGAATGCAATCAAAAATGGGAAGGATGTGTTGGATGCAACGACATTATGTGTTCGAGTTGTCAGCAAAATGGTTATTATTACAACAATGGATTTTGTAACAGTTTGTAATTTATAAAAAATGTTTATATTTTAAATCAAAATAACTCTAAGAGTGTTCAGTGAATTGTGAGAGTTGTCAAAGCAAAGAAACGTGTGATGTATGTAAAGGTGGGTATTACTTAAATAGAGGTTTGTGTGAATTGTGTTCAACAAGAAATTGTAAACTCAGTGATGATACAAAATGTGAGAGTTGCATAGAAAACTCGTTTTTGAACAGTGGGATGTGTGTATCGTGCAATGAGAAAATTCCAAATTGTGAGAAATGCAACAGTAATAACGTTGACGGGCAATGTCTTCTATGTTCGAATGGGTTTTACTCGAATGGACCACAGTGTGTTAAATGTGACACGTCTTGTGGGAATGAGGGGTGTGTCAATGGGAAGTGCACAAATTGCATAGACAATAAAATTTTAGACAAAAGTGGGAAGTGTGTTAAACCAACAAATTGCGACCGTGTTGATAACAGTAAATGTGTTGTCTGCAAAGACGGTTATTATTTGTACAACAATATTTGTGTTCAAAAAGCGTCAAACACGCCATGCAACTCAATTCAGATCACAGAGGATGTTTGTCTTACCAAAGAAGATGCTGGGTGTGATGAAGTTTCAAATGGCAAGTGTGCATCATGTCAGAGTGAATTAATACTCGACAAAGGAATGTGTAAAAGTTGTTCCTCGTCAATACAAAACTGCACAAGTTGCGCCACTTCAAGCAGTGAAAACATCATGTGTTCTGTGTGCAGAGAAGGGTTCTTTCCAGAGAAGACATGTAAGTCGTGTAGAATGATATATGGGTGTGAGTTGTGTGTAAACTTGCTTGTTGGCAATGTTGAAAGCACTCGAATTTGCACGAAATGTTTGAGTGGGTATTATTTGCAAGATGGTGAGTGTCTCCAAATCAAAAACTGTGTTGCTAACACAGAAAATGAGTGCACAAAATGTGAACAGAATTATATTATAGAAGAAAATGAATGCAAAGAATACACAACACAGCTGGGGTGTATTGCAACTGATGGTGTGTTTTGCACGATGTGTTCTGATGGATTTTACTTGTCACAAGAAAGTCGGCGATGTTTGTCGTGTTCAGTTGCGAGTTGCAGCAGGTGCGACACAACTGGCAAATGTGTTGAGTGCAACACAAGCAACTCATTGAAAGACGGGAAATGTGAGAAGTGTGGGATTGTTGGGTGTTCACTCTGCAACTCGACAGGTAGTGATTGTCTACGTTGTGACAAAACCCACTTCTCAACAACACTACCAACATTACAATGCACAGAGTGTACCACAATAACGATTGGGTGTTTGGAGTGTACAAGTGATCACTTTACGATGTGTCAAGACGGGTATTTCATAGACACCATAGATTACAAATGCAACTCATGCAAAATGATAGAGGGGTGCACAACATGCTCACTTGAAACAAGGAAGTGCTTCAAGTGTTTGGATGGGTTTTATTTGTTGAGTGGACAATGCGCTTTGTGCAACAAAACCACCCAAAAGTGTGGAAGGTGTTCGAGTGATTCAAATTGCAACAACTGTAAAGAAGGATACTTTTTGGAGGAGAACACGAGCCACAAATGCAGTGAGATAGACGGGTGTGAGGTTTGCGACGAATCAAGTCGTCTCTGTTTTAAGTGCAAAGACTATTACACCGGATTAATAGATGGAAATGGGTACAAATGTGTCGATTGTGAAACTGCAAATGAAAACTGTTCGAGGTGTTCAATTGATGGAAATTGCACCGAGTGTGAAAGTTCTTTTATGTTAAAAGAGGGTGTTTGTGTTGAGTGCTCAACTTCAACTTTGAATTGCCATGTTTGTGCAACGACAAGTTCGAGGTGTCTGTCGTGTGATGTTGGGTATGGTGTTGATGATAATGGGCAATGCCAGAAGTGTGTTGATGTGAATTGTCTTGACTGTGAGTTGTATGACAAATGTTCAAAATGCAAAGAAAACACAATTCTCACAGACGGGAGTTGTGTGAGTTGCAGTGTTGACAACTGTAAGACGTGCGATTTGAATGGGTTTTGTGTTGAGTGCAAATCCAGTTATTATCCAAATGATGGCGTTTGTCAAAGCTACAATTTGAGTTCTCTCAATTGTGTTGAAACGTCAACAATCAGAAACGAGTGTCTGAAGTGCAATATAAATTATTATTTGAAATTGGGAAAGTGCTATCCATGTAACTCGTTTGATGCCAATTGTGTTGAATGCAACTACAGCACATGTTTAAAGTGTTCAGAAGGAACATATCCAAGTGGATTTAAGACGTGCCTTCAATGCAACAACATGGCAAACTGCACAAAGTGCCAACAAACATCGCCTGTTTTCACAGAGTGCCTTTTCACGTCTTCTCCAAATGGGCAATTGGTAAATGGGTATTGCAAAGATTGTACTGTTGACGGTTGTGTGAAATGCAAAACAAAAACGTCTGGTAGTAATGTGTATCCTGTTTGTGAAATTTGCGCACCGGGGTATAACCTCAACTCGAATGACGAATTTTGTTATAAAAACACGATTAACAATTGTGAAGAGTATGAAATAAACACCAACACGTGTTTAAAATGTAAAAATGGTTTTGCCCTCAATGGAACCACATGTCAAAGTTGTGCCTCTACACTTTCTAACTGTGAAGAATGCGCGTCAACATCGAGTTGCACAAAGTGTTCAGAGGAATATACTGTTGGCACAGACAACACTTGCCACACCTGTTCTGATGTAATACCAAATTGTCACAAATGTTATTCTGACACTTCAAAATGCAAAGAGTGTGCAGTTGGGTATTAAGTCACAGAAGATTTGACGTGTTCGAGTTGTGATTCGGTGATATCGAATTGCAGTGAGTGTTACAATTTGGAAGGTGTCAAATGCACAAAATGCAATTTTGGGTCATACATTGAAAATGGGAGGTGTGTAGAAGTGAAGGCAAACGAGTTCAAAACATCAGAAACAACTTCGAAAGCGTGTCGCCTTCAAATACAAAACTGCTACAGCTGCAACTACACGACAAGTGATGCCATTTTTGATACAACAGCAGTTGAGTGCAACAAATGTCTTGATGGGTATGGCTTTGTTTCAAGCACAATGAGAGTCTGTGAAATCTGCCACAACGAAGTTGACGCGAGTTCTGTGTGCATCACATGTGAAAATGGGTGCAAGAAGTGCTTCATCAAAGACAACCTTACAAAAGAGCAGTCGTGTGTTGAGTGCGAAGATGGGTTTGCATTGAGGAATGGAAAGTGTCTTAAAATAGAAAACCGTGAGTATTGTCTTGATGAGTTGCACAATGTCGGCTGTGAATCATGCGCCAACTACTACTCAACTGTTGAAATTGGCACAAAGTGCTCGCCGAATAACAGAAACACGAGTTGCTCATTCTACAATGAAAAAGGTGAGTGTTTTGAATACAACGACAAACCAAAAGTGTCATCTTTAATAAAAGCAGAAGACGCAAGTGATGTCAACTGCCAAAAGTGTGAATACCAGAAAGGGCACTGTCTCTCTTGTCAACGTGGTTTTGTCCCAAACTTGTCAAATCCACCAGTTTGTACAGAGTGCGGGTGCAGAGAGTGTAACAAGATCAACAAATGCAAAATATGTATCAGCGAGTCAAACAACAACATTGGAATTTGCACAAGTGACAGCAACTGTGTTTCGACAACAAACAACACTTGTTTGAAATGCACAGATAGTCATTACATAACAAAAGGGATGTGTGAAGTGTGTGATCATAATTGTGTGTCGTGTTCAAGTGACAGCAAAAAGTGTTTGAAATGTGAAGATGGTTTTGTACTAGTGAATGATGAATGTGTTTCGCTTGAAGAGTCAAATTGTGTTATTCAAAATGATGCTACAGGTCGTTGTGAGTTATGCAGAGAAGGGTTTGTGTTTGACGCATCAAATGAGTGCAAAGAAAGTGGTATAACAAATTGTCTGAATGAAAACTCAAACAAGTGTGTGAGATGTCTACCAACAACTCTTTTGGGCATTTCCAACAGAGAAACGGTTTGTTCTAAAAGTGCAAAAATAAACAACTGCAATATTTTAAGCTCAACTGGTTGTGTAAAGTGCGAAAGTGGATATTACATGGATGGGATAGAGTGTGAGCGATGTGATAAGAACTGTGAGCAGTGTGACACAAATGCAACGACATGCATATCGTGCTATTTTGGGTTTATTCTCAACGTGCAAACGAGTCACTGTGATTCGAGTGAAGATATAAAAACTTCATGTGCGAAATTTTTGAGTGATGGAGGATGTGCAATATGCCAAAATGAGTATTATTGGCAAGGGAGAAATTGCTACAAGTGTGGCAACAACTGCACAACTTGTTCACAGAACGAAGGCAATTGCCTGACATACAATATTGATAACGGATTTTATCAGAACGACACAAATGGGATTCATTGCATTTCCAGTGAGCGAACTTGCAAACTGTTTGAAATATGATATATTTGGATGTGTTCAATGTGAAAATGGGTATTTCTTGAACCGAGGAAAGTGTGAGATTTGTGCTGAGAACTGTGAGTTGTGTGTGTCGTCTGATTTTTGCCAAAATTGTGTTGATGATTACGTTTTAGTCAAAAGTAGATGTGAATATTACACAACAATAAAGTATTGTGCAAGTGCTACAAATGGTTTATGTTCAAGTTGTACACCAAAATATGATCTTTCAATTGATAAATTAAGTTGCTTCAAACATCAAAACAAGGCGCTTTCGATTGCACTTCCCGTTGTAATTACAATTATTATAATCATAGTATTAATAGTCACAATGTTTGTGGTGTGTCTTATTTACAAGTCACATCAATCAAAGAAAATACTACAAAAGACCACATGCGAGTTTTCAATGAAAAAGTCGAACATCAACTTTATTGAATATTCTCCAGGAGTCATGTTGAACAAAACATCACTCGACTTCTCTGTTGATTTTGATATAATTTGTTCACTTCCAATTGACCAACCAAGTCGTGACCTCCTCTGTGTTGGAAACAACTCAAAACATACTGTGAAAGTCCAATTGACATACAAAACGACAAGTGAAAAGTACACCATCAGGGTAACTCCATCTCTGGCAACACTATCCTCTGAGAAAGCTGTTGAATTTGAAATATTTGTAACACCTCTTTGCACATGTAGCATCAGTGAAACTATTGCAATTGTCCTTCTTAATATGTCGAAGGGTGAGCAGATGTCCCTCAACTTTCCCATCAAGTTTGAAAGTGAGAAGTCGAGCCACCTTATAGCCGACGAAGTAATTTGCGAAAAGAAGATAGGTGAAGGCTCCTTCGGTGTTGTTTACATTGGGAATTACATTGGAAACAAAGTAGCAATTAAAAAGATGAAAGAAGTCGAACACAATGAAGAGTCAATGGAAGAATTTAAAAAGGAGGTTGAGATGTTAGACAAATTCAGAAGTGAATTTGTCGTTCACTTCTATGGCGCTGTTTTTGCACGTAATAAAGTGTGTATGGTCACGGAATTTGCGACATATGGAAGTCTTCAAGACTTAATGAAACACAAAACTTCGAATGAAATTGACATGAAGTTAAGAGTGAAAATTTGTCTTGATGCTGCTAAAGGTGTATTTACACGAGAATGGGATACTACACAGAGACATCAAACCAGACAACATTTTAGTCTTTTCATTGGAGACTATCGAAAAGGTTAATGCTAAATTGACTGATTTTGGAAGTAGTAGAAACGTCAACTTGTTGATGACTAACATGACATTCACCAAAGGTATTGGAACACCAACTTATATGGCACCCGAGGTTTTGAAAAAAGAAAAGTATAAAATGAGTGCAGACATTTATTCATTTGGAGTAACAATATACGAGTGTGTTGGGTGGTGTGAGGCGTACCCAAAAGATGAATTTAAATTCCATGGAAAATAGCCGAGTTCGTTATTTCTGGAAAGCATGTGAACAAAAATCCATCAATGAGTGATAACATTTTCAACATCATTTCTGAATGTTGGAAACAAGATATGAACAGTCGTCCAAAAATAGAAGACGTTGTTCACACTTTAGAAGTGTGTTAAACATCAATTACAATTTATTTTTCATAAATAATAATTTACTATTTAAAATGAGTAAAAGTAGTTGCTATACTTTTAAATGCAAAGTGTGATATATTTTTTTTTTAAAAATCATAATTATAATATATATCTTTTATTATGTTTTTATGTTAAAATGATAAAAGGGTATTTTATCATTATTGTGGCATATTCTGATTATCCACTATTTTAAATTGGTTTGCATTTTATTGATAACAAGTTGTTTTTATTCAGGTTTTTGATATCAAACATTACAAACATTTAAACACATATTGTTCAAACATTTAAAAACAAATTGTATAAACATTTAATTAATTAATAATATTTTTAAAATGTTAATTATTTTTTGTAATTTAACAGAATATAATTATTAACTTAACCACAATTATAATTATTAACATTCAAATATCAAATCTAAAAAATGGTGGTTCAAAGACTGAATTAATTTACAAAGATGTTTTTTCTTTTAATGGACAATTACCATTGCGAGCGCCTTTAAGCATTCGACTTGATGATGACTATGATGTTTGCATTTTTGGTTTCACTGATATGCGAATAATCCGCTTGTTGAATTTAGGCAATTGCCATGGTGTAACAACACCAACAGAACCCTTGGTTCATTATCCTCTTGATGCATAGTATTTACTACCATTCCATGGTATTCATGTATTTATTAAAATGTGAAGTCTGTTAATATTTCTTTGGTCTCAGCCAAATAAAAGTTGGTATATTTAGAAACCAGTTTTCAGTCATTTGATAACCATCATATGATACGCTGTCCAAAGTGAGTTACATTTGTATAGGAACAAACAGTGTATCTTTTTGTAATTGTTAGATCATATAAAAAATGTGTTTAAATATTGTTCTGTGTTTTTTATTTTTGTTATTCCAGTAAAATAGAATATACTTTGAATTGACTTTTGTTGTTTTTTTTATTTTTAAGGTAGTATATAATTTTTATCGTATTTTGCTTTTTATAATTAAAAATTTCCGGTAGTTAAGCCGAAAAACACATTGTACAGTAGAAAATAAATTGTATTAAAGTCGACCAGAAAATTGTCGTGCACCAGAAAATACTCGTACACTTCCAAAAATAAAATTTATTTTTTTAAAAATAATTTTACTCAAAGAAATTTCATTTTTCACTTTGATTTTATAAACTGATTCTTTTTTGATCTTTTTTCTTCCAAATGATGCTTTAAACCGTTCTTGATGTATTTTTTGTTCTTTTTTACGAAATAAAATTCTTTGAAATTTTATATATTGTTAAGATTATTATTTTTTATAAATTGTTTTTTTGTTATTCTCTAATTATTGTTATTGGCAAGTATAGTTCGGTATAGTTTGAATAGTTTACAACAATGTCTAATAATTTTCGAAATGTGTTTTTTGAACAAAGTTCATAAAAATAGAACACCAATGATACCACCATATCTACTCAACTCAACTTTCATATCTTAAATGAACAACGGTGACTCATCGATTAACAAGTGTTTAGCATTACTAATGTGGCACTTAATTATTTTAATTACATAATCAAAATTTTGAAGAGTGAACTTGATATTTTTTTCAAAGTTCGTTTTTTGATGTTTTTATCGAAAGTAAATAATATGAAAATATTTCAATATCAAAACATTCAAAAAACTGTCTTGAACATTGTTTGTTCAAGGACTAAACTATAACAATAGAGGTGCAAAGCTGATATGAACCGTATTTTTTATCATTTATGTTTTTTGTAAAATATTAAGAAAAAACAAGCACTTATCAGTGACAATAAAAACATATTTTAAAGCATAAAACCCGAAATTGTACTGTAGCTGAAGTATATTTTTTGTATCATTATTCAAGTTGTCATAAAACAAAACTTGATAAAACACAAAAATTTTAAACAACTTATTACAAAGTTAAAACCATTTCTTTATGATTATCAAGTAAACATTTTGATTGTCCAAATAATCTTGCTTATACACAATCATGACTTTAAAACCAATGGTTAAATACGAACCATAAACACATAACAAATTATTTAATAAAATATTATAATAAACACTGAGTTACCCATTAAGTTGACCAAATTTTATTGTATATGATAACCTCAATTAAATTATAAACATGACATTAACTCAATAAATGAGAACATCGAGTGCATTTTATAAGTGTTTTCTTTTCTTTTAACATTGAAAAATACACGAGAAGATATCGAAAAAAAATGTCTGATCCGACCAAAAATATCAACAATATAGTAAATGAATATCGTTTTTTTTAATTATTAATAACTATATTATACATATAAATAAAACAGGTGATGTGTATTTTTGAAAACAACAATAGTAATATTTATTAAACAATTATAGTATATAATTAATATCTTTTTGTAAAAATTTAACATTTAAAAGAATAGTTTAATTTTTACATTAAAGCTATTTATTATTAACATTCAACATAACCCCATAATTAAAAATTAAAATATACATTCAATTCAAAAGATAGAGAAATACATAAAACGTAATTGAAATGTTCGTGAGGTGGGTTTGGTTTAACTTGGATTGTTTTCATAATGTAATAATTATAATCAACGATTTCTATAATGACAAGATTGTTAAAATTTGTAATAAATTGTGGTTATCTAAATTCTATGTAAATAATACTCTTAATAATACCATATTAAAATCATTAATTTACATGTTAATAAATAAAAACAATATACTAGTCTAGTTCGAATAAATATACAATAATTTTATATACTATTAAATATAATACAACATTTTTTAATTAACATTATTATTTCAATTTTTTTCATAATAATGTATTAAAATTTTATTTTTGAATATAGTACATTTATCTTTTTTTCGTTAATTAAACCACCTATATTTTGGAATAAACAAATGATTTGTAATTTAATAGTTTATGAATGGTTAATAAATGGTTTATCAAATGTTTTATTCTCTTAACAATTTGAATCTTTTTATACATTTCAATAAAAGTTCAATGTTTTTGATTTGAAATCAGCTTCGAATTGTTTCTTATATCGAGAAAAGTACGAAGAAATTTTTATTAACTTTTCTTTAAAAAAATGCAATTTATGTACACAAATCTATTTTAGGAAGTGTACGAGTATTTTCTGGTGTACGACAATTCTCTGGTCGACTTTATAGTACAAAAAAGAACATTAAATTGAACATTAATACTATTTTTAAATAATCGCATTTTTATTATTTATCTTACATATTTTCTTTTTTTGAATAATATTTTTTTTGTAATTTTTATGTTATAAAAAATTTTACATATTTTTAAAAATCTTCAAACTTCAATAATACCAGTTAATAATTTTACAAATATACCTATTTTTATTCATTTTTAAAAAAAATTTCCTTTGATTTTCGATTGAATGGAGTTATTTATAATAAAGTCAAAGCAAAAAAATAATATATGCTTTGATAATTATAAAAAACTAAAACATATGTTTATTTTGAATTTGCATATTAATTATTTTGAGCATTTTGTTCCTGTGACTGGAATAATCTATACAAGACGGATTTTTATATAACTTTTATTGTTAGATTAAACTATATTGTTGCTATATTTAAGAATATTATTTCTGTTTATGAACACATATTCAATTTAAAATGTATTTTAAATGGTCTATTTTATTTTACCAAAATTGTTTTATCACAATACTTAAACAAAACTTTTATTTTTTATTGATTTTTATTATTTAGACTGTAAATACGATGCTCGTTTTAAAACCTAAACATCACTTTCTACTTTTTTCATCACCAACATAAATTGTATACATTTGAACTTCGAAATAATTAAAAATGCGTTTTAAACAATAAATGTAAAAACATTTTTATAAAAAATGTTATTTCAAATTAAAATTTCATCAGGTTTTGTATTGTCAAATATAATTAGACAGCCTTTGTTTCTGAAATGCTTTTCAAAAATATATATTAATTGTCAATTTTGACTTCAATTAATAATACAATTTAAAGTATTATATAGCATGTAAAGTTATAACCAAGTTCATGCCTTTGGACATCTTTTTTGTTTTTTGTATTGTTTTAGACAGCAAAGTTAAATATAAAAAACCTAAAGGGATTACTCGTATTTTTATTGTTTTTAATCCGTATATTAACAACAAAAACTTGCGGCAGACGTATTTTTATTGATTTTGTTGATGATTGAACTTATTTTGAACTTATCCTCAATAACAATAACACCGTATGACTTTTGTAATTAAGTGTATGACACATATTGAACATGTATAGTGTTTATATATATCTCATCTTTTAATTTATTTAAGCGCCTTACCCTTTTAATGATAAATAATTGTAATGTATACAATGCCTTTTTGTGGTTAAAAGTGTTTGTTCTTACCACTTCATTTTGTTAAAAAATACAATTATTATTATTGGTTTATCATTACAATCAATATATATTATTACGTGTCACTGAATATTAATTCTGTAAAGTATAAGTACTTTTCTGTTTCCACAACTAAATTCGTTAATCAAGTCAATCGAAGAGTTTGGTACAAGTACGTTATAGAACTAATATTACATGTGTTGAATTTTATAATTTATACATTTGAATTTTATTAATAACAATCATATATTTAAGTTGAAAATGTTGCAGACAATAATGTCACTTTTAACTAATATCTTTTGTATAACAATTCAAACGTCTACACTCAAATTAAAAACATAATAATATGATGTTATAATTTGTTTTGAAAGTGTGAAATGTCAATTAAAGTCAGTTTAATATATTCAAACTCAATAGTGTCAAGCGAATATTAATATTCTTATGTTATGTATCAAAACAATGATATTTATACTAAATTAATTTACGTAGTTATTTTATTTTTTCTCCTCCTTCCTTTCGGTGGCACAACTTTTGGTTTTACTTCTTTTATTGTAGCAATAGTTTTTTGTTCCCTTTTTTGGCATGTTTAATTGATGACGATTAAAAAAATAATTTTTAATTTTTTTATTTTAACTTTTATTATTGTGCTTATTAACACAGAATATTTGCTATTTAATTATCAAGATAAACAGAATAACAAAATTTCAATTATTTTTGATGTTTCATTTTTGTTCACAACGTAATATATTGTAATGTCGATTGGATAATCAGTATACATTTATAATAATTTTGTACCCTTTCAATTTATTATAACATTAATAATGTTGAATTGAATGATTAGTTACTTTTAGTTTTTATTTGTTCAATTTAAAGAGAATTGTTTTTGTTCAATTAATTTATTGAATAAACAATTTGTTTTGTTTGATAAGGTTACAAAAAACTTTTGCTGCAAAGTTTTGTTGAAAACTCACAATAATTTGTTCTATTTAATTCCAGTTTGAACTGTTTTTTCAATCGTTAATACATATGCCAAAGAAAGTAGAAAAAAGGGAACTGTTGCTGCATTAAAGGAAGTAACACCAAAAACTGCTGCCACTGAAAAGAAGGAGAAGAACTTAAGTGTAATAAATAAATTTATTATCAATGTTATGTTTTTGTAACACAAAGTTTAACAGTTTTATTTTATCTTATTAACCATGCTATAAAATAATTTTAAACTGAAAATAACGTCACAAGTGTTTATACACATTTTAAAGATTTATTCAAATTACCATGTAAATGATATTTTTTAAAACATATTTGAAGCTTATGTACTCTTTAAATATTTTTATTTAGTTTAATAATCAAAATAAAGAAATTATTTTTTAAATAACATATGAATAATTGAATTACAAAAAATATACAACATTAAATAATGTTCAAAATTATAATAAAAGACTCAACAGAAATAATTAATTGTTGGAGTAACAATGATTTATGTAAGAGTTTATAAATAATGTTTATTAGAAATGTCCACTAATGTAATTATTAGAAATGTTTTTTGAAATAAGTGAGAATTTAACAATCATATTTTTACAATATTCATATTAATTAATATATGAACTTTTATAATTAAATAATTATACTATTAATTATTTACTTCCAAAAAATGTATTTTCTGTTATAAATTTAATTATAAAGTTTATAACTAAACTAAAAAAGATAAATAGCACATTATAGTTTTCTCAGAACTAAACATTTGAGTAAAATCGAACACCTTTGCTTTAAAAAATTTATTTGTTGTTCGTATGATAATTTCATGATTTTACTCAAGACGTATTTGATACAGTCGTTCTCAATATACCCCTCATAATACTCAAATCCAAATCGTTCAATTTCTTTGAGCAGAATCACGTCACAGCTTGTCTCCCATCCATTTACATACATCTCTTCAAGCTCTTGTGGCATCTCAAAACTCCCATCTCTGATCTTTTGAAGTGCAACACGGAGTGATGTCATCGCTACAATCTTCGATTTAATATATTTTGGGCACTCCACACGACTCCGAATAGCGTCGTTGACTCTGTCACGCACACTCCTCCGACTTTCTATTTTGAATGCTTCGTCCGGCCATTTCTCTATACGTGCCCCAAACGTTAAGAAGTACTTCTCGTATTTCTGAAATACATTTTCTTCGCTTTTTTCAGTCGATAAACAGTTCTTGGTGGATTCACAATACTTCTCTTTGCGAGTTCTGTCTTCACTAACTACAATTCGCTTGTTTTGGTATGCCCACTCCCGCACTCTTTGGGCACACTCGGTCCCAACAAGGCCAGTTGCGGTCAAGTCCCCAAAACGCTCTTGAGGCCTCCTGTAGTCCGACATTCAAACACCATTAAATTGTTTCTCTAGCAATTAGTGTTATTTATAACATATTTTCTTTGTTAGAGGGGGTATAATTTTATTGAGCCTTAACATTATTATATTAATAGTTAAATTAATTAAAATTGAATTTACTAAATATACTAGTAATTATTAGTATAATTAATCATTAGTATTTAGTATTCCAATGATTAGTTATAATCTATTAATAAATACTATTATAAAAATTACTATTGAAATACCATATTACATATAATTAAACTATTTTAATAGTAATATTTAATTATTCAAACAAATCATCATCTTTGCTCATAAAGACTTCATTTTCTTTGTCTTTACCAAAAATATTCATTTTCCATACGCCAGTATATATAAAAAGGCCTGAAGTGAGCATTACAAAACCTAAGACTTGTAAACACGTCTGCCACCCGAGTGGTTCACCCATTGATTTTCCTGTTGAATAATAAAGGATGACAGACACCATCCATATAGTGATCATTCTGCATGGATCAAGTATGTTTCTGACCATCGCAGACAAATTTTGTGTGATGATCATGCCAGCTATATTAAACACAGTAATTGCCATGACATAGAACACTACAATAACTAAAATATACTTTTCTCGTAACGACACGACTGCGTCTATACTATCATCGTAAAAAGGAGCAGGTAGTAATTGCAATATAACCATCCCAGGAAGAGACATAAACACTCCATAAAATCCTTCCAACCCAACAACAACTAAAGGAGGGATTTTTAAATCAAGTAAATACTTTTCTTCTAATATCGTCTGAGTTGCTTGAAGAAACATCGCCCCAGTGATAAAGGTAATCCCAACAACTACATCCCACACCTTCGACTCCCCACGAATTAAATTTCGCCCGCCCGCAAAGGCAGACCCCCCGACTATTGCTAAAGCAACTATAACTAAAAACAACGAGAAAACTTGATTTGGAAGGAGCTTAACTTTCCTCACAAAAACAGCCAAAAGTGCAGTGAACAATATGACACTTCCACGCATCATCTGGAAGACACTGGAAGTCACGTAGAGGAGTCCGACATTCATTAAATACCCACCCAAGAAGTCGCAGAATGCAGGGACAATCATAGCAAGAAACACTTCCAACCGGAATGGACTTCTCATGTTCACTAAGACGTGTTTGGGCTGTTGTTCTGGAAAGACCAAATTGACGATGATATGCACTACAATACAAATGGCCATCCCAACAAACATCATAAACGTTAAGAACATCGGGTGTTCAAAAGGATGAAGCTCACTCTTCCGTCCAAATGTTGTTGTGTTGTACATCATCTTACTTAGTGTGATAGTTGTTGTCCCGGCACACAAAAAGAGTATTACAGTGACTATAATAACCGATTTCTTCAATTCGGGGCGCTCAAGAGCTTTAGTGAAGTTGTATGTAGTGTTAGTTTTTGGGTTCACATAGTCGTCCTTAATGCTGACCTCCATCACTAAATCTTGAATTATTACTTTTAGAGTTTTCGAAACACCACCAATTTTTGTTATTAAAAAATGTTATACAAGTAACTCTGTTCTTCTCTGGGCTAAATGAATACAAATGAATTACTGCTACAAATCGGGTCTTCAGTCGTTCCGGATATTGAATATAGACTTAGACTCGTTGAGTCGTGGCGCAAGCTGTATGGTGTACGCCAGTGCCACAAACCACGCGTTTGCATCAACCGGGGTTTCAAACACCAAAGTCACTTCCATGAAAGAGAGTGGTGACTGAAACAAGAGTGATGGGCCATGCGGGTGTTTTGTACAATAGGAAACAACAGCCTCTTCACTCACCATATACACATGATGCACTTGGAACAAGTCGTCTTTGAAGTCTTCGACAAGACCGTATTCGTTGATTTCTTGGTACGCAACACATTGTTTTCCGCTTCTGACTTTGTTCCCTCTGTGTGTTACTTTATTGAACATTTATAGTTAAAGTTACTATATAAATAAACTATATACTTAATAGTATATATAGTTCATATATTATAATTATATAGTATATTGTAATTGTAATAATAATATTACGTATTTATAGTTAAAGATACTATATAAATAAACTAGATATATAATTAATATTTTATGAAGTATATTAATGATATATTTTACTAAATGATACTATTGATATTATATCTTTATAGTTAAAGTTACCATATAAATAAACTATATGATAGAGATAAGAAATAATATCAAACAAACTTGTGTTTCAACACGACCGTTTCAATAAGCACATCATTGAATAAGAAGAAATAGCCTTCCTTGAGTTTTTCGGGTGCTTCTTGGTCCATGAACTTACAAAACCCGGAAACTATAAATCGGCGATATGATTTGTTCAAATCATATAACCCAGTGATGACCCGGAGCACTATGTCGTATTTCTCTCGCTCTTCCTCATATAACTTTTTTTCATTGATCCACGCCGCGACGTCCAAAATCAGTTTATAACACTCGACTAACTTGTCTGTGTCTGGTGAGAGTGGAGGCGCGTTTTTTAACATGTCTTTTATTAATAAGACATAGCGCGGGATGCGCTGGATGGGCATAATCAGATACGACTGGAATCGTTGGATGACGATCCCGGGGTGCATCTCCTCATACGCTTTTCGACTTGCATCCACGACCTGAGCGACGCTCCTGTGTCGCACCAACAAGTTGACGTCCTTCAAATTTGAGTTGTACTCGACGATGTACGGACATGTGCTTTTGACGAAGTGGAAGAAGTAGCGGAGTAAGTCTGCGATCATCGGGATGTTGTTCTCTCCGACCTCAGCAATTCTCTTTGACAATTTTGTGTAGAAGAGGGAGTGTAAGTTGTGTAACTGTTCAATTTGCATCTTCATCTTCTGCACTATCTTCGCGTATTTTCCTCTTGAAATTGGCTTTAAATAACAGTTCAGAAGAATGTCGAGTGATTGGACATGTGCTTCTTCCGTGAACCACAACTCCATCAACGTGTTTTTGTACGTCTCCATTTGACTCTTTTCTTTCTCGTCTAAACAACTCATATAAACTTCTAAGTCTTCAAACCCCGTCAAAAGCGGTGAAATTTTCTCTTTGTCACTCGTTATCCCCTTTTTAATAACTTTAACTATTTTAATGGTTTTGTCACTGGACCCAAACTCGTCAAGGATAACGTCATCGCCATGTTTCTCTAAAAACTCACACTTCCTCCGTTCCATCATGTTTGTTATCCCTTTGATTTGCTCTTTGGGGTTGTCGTCGCCATTTCGAATGTCAAGAACTAAAGCCTCTTTGTACCCTTTAATAGGAAACCCTACCGATATTCGATTCCGCTTTAAATACTCCTTTAACCTATTTTCATCGGACGAGATCATCAAGTCGAGATCTTCTTTATCGACAGTGATATATGTGTACGCCCCACTAATCTCTTCATCCCCATCTTTCGACTTGTCTTCACTCTCTTTGCCATATTCATCCCCATCATCGCCTAATATCGAACTGGAGTCTTTGATACTGTCATTCTCTTTCCTCTCTTTTGTCTCTTTGACGACTTGAAATGTGTGAAACGCCCCATCACTCTCTTTATGAGGCGGTTCTAAGCATTCAACTGTTTGTTTGTTCTCAATGTCTTGACTCTCACAAAGGCTCTCTACTTCGGGTTCTAGAGTTCCCCCCTCACAACTTCGATATTTCTGCATGCGAACAAAAATGGGGTCTTCAGTGGTGTTGACCTCGTTCAACATCCCTTCGCTATTTTCTTTGAAAACTACAGTCTGTGGCGCCTTCTGCAATTCTATGCTCATTCGTTTCTCATCTAACCGTTTGCGCGGTGTTACACTCTCCGACTTGATTGTGTTTTTGAATGAAATGCGGCCTTTTGCTGCGTCCTCAAAAACCTCGAAAACAAAGTCCTTCTTCAACTTCTGTCTTTCAAACTCACAGCTCTTCTGAAGTTTATTTGTCTTCTTGAAGTCCGGTAAAGTGAATTTGCTCTTATTATTTCGAATGGTATCTTTCTCGACCTTTTCAGTCTTCCCAACCTTTTCTTTGTTCTCAGCAGAGTCCTTCTTGCCATGTCTGGGTGTTGTAATAGGTGTTGTGACAAAGACAGTAGCTTTGTCGACATTTGTGGGGCACTCTTGTTGGTCTTTTTCTTTCATTTGGTGAGACTCTAAAAATACATTTCCTGAAACGGATGGGGTTTCTTGATATTGTGTCGTGTCTAGTGTTGTGAGGGACAAACTAAATTGGGTCTTTAAAATAATCGACTGCCGATTCTGTGTGCGCGGTTCTTTAACCCTCAGTGCTGAGTTTGGCCGACTCAAAGAAAGCGAGTGTTTTTGTCGTGTTGGTGTCGCCTTCAAATACGGGAGGATTTGTGTGTCGTCGGGCTTTGAGACACTCATGTAGATAACCAAAAAAGTTCGCAAAGTCCGTTTTACCTTTTTCCAAGAGGATGGCAAAAATAAAAAGTTTTTATTTTAAAAATTTATAGAAATAAGTCTTAGGAATTTTTCTTTCAAAACTTCGGGGTTTTCCGATCACTAAAAAATGCAGTTTTATATTTTTTTGGTAATTATAATTATTAGTTTCAAATTGTTTTATTATGGCTTATGTTTAGTTTTATATCTCAATGTTTTTTTTAAGTTCTTTTTTTAGTAATATAATTTGTTAATAAAATGCTTTATAAATCGGGAAATAAAAATAGTTTTAAATTACTGATGATATATAAATATCTATTGTTTAAAAATTGTTATTGGTAAAACATTAAAAAAAATCATGATAATAATTATTATTATAATTAAATTATTTGTTTTTAATTGTTTTATTATAATAAATAATAATATTAATATTAAACTTTAATAGTATTTTTAGACAAACAATAAAATATAAATATATTTAAAGAGGTGAAATAAAAGTGATGTAGTCAAAATATTAGTTTTTTATAAATAGTTTTATAATTTCTTGTATAGTTATGTTTTTCAATATTCCGCGACATGATTCAAAAACGAGGTTTACAAAGGAAAACATGTTCTTTGGAATTGCTAAGTTGTGAAAGTCTATGTGTTAATTGTTTTTTTTATTGCAATAGAAAGTCGAGTTTGCTGAGGAAAAAAAGAGGCGACAAGAATAAACGTTTTACAAAACAACTGAAAAAATCAAAATAAAACAAGTAAAAACTTTGTTATATCATAGAAATTGAATCAACATTATTTGTCATACCTCTCGCCCAAAACGATGTTTATATATTTTTATGCCTTTGAAGTTCGCGGACATTCTTATTTGTCTTTTTCTGGAGCAATTCCCAGAATATTTAGGCTCTGGTAAAAGAAAAAAAAATGATTAGAGAATTTATGAACTATAAAGAAATGACACATATTGTTGAAAGTGTGAAAGAACAATTAAAAGAAGTCAATCAATCAAAAAATCCACTTTGAAAGACATTTTGAATGCACAATAAAGACTACAATTCTTTATATTTGATGAATTGTTTTTTTCGCTTGGAAACCCAAAGTAAGCAAAATCGCGTCAGTCCTTTCAATTCTAATAAAAATGTATCTGTTGTTATTAATAGATCAGTTAGAATTTTGTTCAATTCGCATCAAGTCTTGTTCAAAAGGAAATTACTAGATTCAAAAAAGAATTAACGACTAGAAGAAGGACAACAACGGGAAGACCGACATTCTTTGACAAAAGAACTATTTTTTTAGCTGATGTATTATTCAAATATTACTACAATCAAAAATAGTTTTGACATATGCAGCATTCTCTAAATTAGTTGAAAGAACAACTGGAACGACGTTTAAACTGGATACCATGAAAAGTGGGTTTTTAAAACTTTTGACATCAAAACAATCGAAGGGAAACCCGAAGACATTAAACGATTATCAATAAAACCCGAGGACATCACAACTAATTACATGGAGATGGCAGAATTTAATGGTATTAATAGTGGTCTTGTCTTTATCATTGACGAAATTGGTTTTCAAGACTTTTGCAACAAGAAAACCGTCAGAGTGCTTGTTCCTCAAAATGTTGATGTTGAAAAAGTTAATATCAGCATTGGAAGAAGTGGGGAAAGATCCACCATTATCTGTATGATATTTTTGGATGGCACTACAATATTTCCTAATGTTGTTGTGACAAATAAAACGCTTGACATTAAGTTGCTGTCAATGTTTTCTAATGCAACATTTTTTCACCAATAACATAAGATTTGCAACCAAGGAAATCTTCTGCAACTGGATGATGAATGAAGTGGTTGAATACATCAAAGCCAAAAGGATTTTACTGCGACTTCCACCAGACGCGTTTGCATTGATTACCATCGACGGGTTTTTTGGACACAATTACAATGAATTGAGTGCATTGTTGGAACGATCAAGCATCAAGCTTCACAAGTATATACCACACTGTTCTTATCTGCTGCAACTATTGGATCTGTGCCTTTTCTATGAAACTTATTTTATGAAATTGCCCAAGTTGTGAAAGTCAATGTGTAAATTGTTTTTTATTGCTGAAAAAAAAGTTGAGTTTGCTGAAATAAAACACCAGAAGCTTCAATTTGTTTCTTTTTAATCAAAATAAAAGGTAGTCTTTTCTTTGATACTCAACAGTGGGCACTCAACCACCCCGAACAACATCAATCTCTATTTACAAGTCTTAAATTTTTAATTGAACGATTCACACAATCTCTTATGAAAGAGCACGTGCACGTTATTTTCAAGCACCCTTCAAATGGATTCCTTATTTGTTCAGAACTGCATGTTGTGGCCAAACTGATAAACAACACAATGAAGTGCCATAAGTCTACAAGTTGAGTGTTTCCACTCCCAATTGTTTTTTAGAATCTCGTCAAACAAGATATATACGACTCGTTATATTTTTTCACCGTTTTTTTTTATTTTTTTCTAAAAAATGAAACAAAACACGAAAAATGACAAAGAAAATGGTAATAAGACAAACGTTTTGAATTATAACGTTTGCAGGGGTAAAAAGACTTTGCATGTGTCCATCCAGGTTTTCAGTGTTTTTGTTCTGAAATGCTCAAAAACTCAACTTTTTGAAACAAAAAATATTTTATGTTGCATTTTTTATTAAAAAACTGTGAATGGTAATGCAGCGCCTTTTCCGCCTGGTTGATAAATTTGCCAAAACTGCATTTTGATTATTTCAAGAAAAAAATATTGAAAAACATATATATAAAGACGGGACCTCGTACGTTTTTAGTTATAATTGCTAATCAAAACTCGACGGAAAACAACATGAAACAGTCCCAACATAACATCCTTCAAATTGGCGTGTATTGCCAAGTTCAATAAAAAATATCAAAATAAATGAAAGGCTTTGGATAGTACTTCACTTGCATTTTATCAGACAATAACAAAGAAAATTTTTAAAAATTTATAATATAAAATATATTTTGATAATTTACAAAATATTATCAAAATAAAATTAATTATTTATTTTAACATATCAAAAAAGAACTAACTTAAACAAACATTTGTTCAGAGTTAATAACTTTCTTTTTAAAATAAAGAATGATTAAATCATAAATACAATACAAACATCCAACCAACAAAGTAATGAAAAAAAGTTTAATACAACAACAAAAGATATTGATGAGATCTATTTTAATAATACAATTATGTCCAAAATTGAAACATGAAAAAATTTCAGTCAAAAGTATAGATATAAATATTGAGACAAAAATTGAAAGGCTCTGAAACTATGAAAGGTTCCGTCGTACCCCATTCGTCTCACATTATCAAGTATTAAAAAATTTCCATTGAATATTGATATTTTAAATGACTCGACTAATGTTTTACTGAAACACGTTTGTCTATTTTCTAAAAATTAACTAAAACTACTTTAATTGTTTTGAAGTTCAAAAATTATTTAATGAAAAATGATTAAGATGTTTTGTTACTTCTAATAATAACAGCGCAAAATCTCAAATTGGCAAAATTAGAAAAAAAATAGATAAAACCCCGAAAAAGGAAAAAAAGAACCTCAATATTGAAGAAATTCACAATATTCAATTTAAAAAAAAAGAAAAACAAAAGCAAGTCAAAAAGAAACAAGTTGTTAAATATTTTTATATTTCGGCAAATATAAAATCTAAACAACTTAACATAATAATTGTATATGTTTTCGAAATTGAACCAAAGACATTAGTCATACAATTAAAAAGCGCAGAAGTAACAAATGAGTACATTTTGAAATAGTACACAAAATATAAAATGCCGCTTAGAGATTATTTATTTGCTTGATGATGTTTGTTTTGACCAATAGGTTGAAATTCCATTTTTATGTTGAAGTTGGTACGGGTGAGTACATTTTTAACGAAGTAGAATGATAATAATAGAGAACATGTATGATATGTTGTGGTAATTGTTGATGGCAAAAATGATTATTAATATTGTTACAAAAAGGCTATTCATAGATGATGAAACAATTAATCGTCTAAAAGTTAATATTTAATACGGCATCGAAAAATAAAACGCGTTAAATATGAAACTTTATACTCTCCGATTTCAAAGATTTTTCTCATGAACAATAATATAAAACGAAACTGCATGGGTGTAATAAAAACACAAAAGCTTGCCTCATTATTGACTGATTTTCGAGTCACTTTTATATACAGAAAATCGCGTCATAATGATCAAAAAAGTTTTCTATAGTTCACAATTGCGTCAGTTGATGGATTTTGGAATTTTCAGGATTCAAAAAAAACTTTTTGAGAAACAAAACTAATTTAGTTTAACACAAATTTAACTTAATAGAAAAGGATGGTAAAAAATAAAGAAAAACATTGAAAAATTAACAAATAAATTCTCAAGAGTTCAAAATATTGAAAAAAAATATTCACATATATCCAAAAAAGCTTATTTACTCTAGGAATGTTTTGCAATGGTAAAAATTAATCAACACACTGACGCAAGTTTGTATCATGTTTTACTACATAATTAGAACAAGGCTGATTTTTCATCAGTTGAAAGAAATGACCCTCCACAATTCCAACACATCAGACTTTATAATAGGTGTAGTCGGGGTTGAAATAAAAAGTGCAAAGAAGGTGTGCATTTTTGGGAAAATGTCTGAATCAAAGACGACAACATTAACACATGTTGCTCTTGAGAACACATTATTTTGAAATATTGAATTGGAATGCGAAAAAAAGCAAAGGAAGGAAAAAGAAATAAGTGTTTTATAATCAAACCTTTTTATTTTTATTTTTATTTAAAAACCTCGACCCTTTCCAAATTAAATTGATGCTTTCTCAAACACATAATATTTTTGAAATTTTGTTTGGTCAAAATAAAAGAGTTGGTATTTTTTGTTTTAATTTAAAAAAATAAACAACAAAAAATAACATTTCCTCAAACCGTTGCATTTTTTTGAT